TTCTTAACCGAAAAAAAAAATAAAATTCCTTGAGCGTATTTAACGATGGTGGCTTAAAATGAGATGTTTGAGTCTTTCAAGAATAAAAATGAAAAAACAAGAAAGTGAGCCGTTTGAGGATTAGTTTATTACGAATGGCAACTTGGAAATCCAAGTTTATTGGCAAGCAATTACTTATGCGTATGCCTCTTCTTACAAAGTCAGATATATCCTCATTAACAAACCCCAAAAAAGACATGTCCCCAAATTAAAAATCTTGCATCTTTATTTACTTATTTACAATATGATCCCTTTGACACTTGTTCTAAATCAGAGTCAAGCATTCAAATTAAAAATCATGCATCTTGAAGAAGGATTCGAGGTTAACAAGGCAGCATTAACAAGAACGGCAAGAAAGAGAAAATTATTTGCATATAGAGATCAAATGGCTTCCTTGCACGACACATCATCAATTAGGCCGACCCTTTTGTTTTCACTCAAACTTTTTCTATCGTCAAATGAACATGCTCCTTGCAAAATCCGTAGTTATTTTATCTGACCATTATTATTCATCTTACCTTTGGATTCAATTTTCGTTTTGTCAAAAGCAGAGATGGGGAATTGTCTTACGAAGAAGGATCAAAGTCTTCCCATTGATACCACCTTCAAGCTTCCTGCTCCAACACCAGTTTGGCGACCAGGTAGTAGTTATTATCTTCGTATACTTTTTTTCCCTCCTTTATTGTTCAAAAGCAAAGATACATTCACAGGAAAAAAAATAAAAAATAAAAGCAAAGATGCAGAACATAACGGATGCAGAGCAATATGAATAATTTGGCATGTCATCAACATGTTTAACTTAAGTCTTGAACACTTTTTGAGTACACTTAAGCTTCATATTCCATATTTGTAGCATCTCTTTGCAAAGAATTTAGAATTCAGAGACACAGTTATTTCATATCTTAAACATGCATAACACCCCATGTATCACAGATTGTACTCTGATTTAGGACAAAATATTATTATCATTTTACATTTAACAAAGTATGGGTGAACTACAAGTGGTGTAGGTTTCAACATCTAACAAAGTATGGACATCGTATGAAGGTGGTCCGAATAATCTTGGGGCTACAATCTTTGAACCAACAGGATTACCAGAAGGATTTTGTATGTGGGGTTGTTATAGCCAACCTAACAACAGGCCATTTTCTGGTTGGGTTCTTGTGGCCAAAGATAACTCTTCAACCACTAACCCAGCTCTAAAGGAACCACTTGACTACAGTCTGATATGGAATACCAAATCCTTAAAAGTCAATCAAAATGGCTCAACCTATTTTTGGCAACCAAGCCCTCCGAATGGCTATATAGCAGCAGGACATGTTGTGACCACAACACCGGACAAGCCTTCCTTGGATAAAGTTCGATGTGTCCGGTTAGACCTCACTGATGAGATTGAGACATACAGATGGATTTGGGGGCCAGGAAAATCGAGTGACTCCAATGGGTTCAATCTCTATGAAACAAGACCAAGAAACAGGGGAACTCAAGCTCCAAGACTTCTTGTAGGAACACCTTTCTAGCTCAAAATCCTGGAATTACTGGTCCTTTGGCTATATCCTATTTGAAAAACACCAACTTTTACTTCACCTCTATGCCAAATCTAAAACAAATTAAGCAATAGCCCAAGTTTACTCTCCAATAGTGTACCTACATCCTAAAGAACAATACCTCCCTTCCTCTGTAAACTGGTTTTTCGCCAATAGAGGATTGCTCTATAAAAGAGGAGAAGAATCACAACCTACCCCAATACAACCAAATAGCACTAATCTTCCCCAAGATCATGACAATGATGGTTCCTATTGGCTAGATTTTCCAGTAGACAAAGCCAACAGGGAAAGAGTTAAAAGGGGGTGATTTACAAGGCTCAAAAGCATATATGCACATAAAACCCACGTTTGGTGGAACATTCACGGACATAGCTTGTTGGGTATACTATCCATTCAACGGACCAGCAAGAGCAAAAGTAGAGTTCATCACTGTTTCACTGGGGGAAATTGGCCAACATGTGGGGGACTGGTAACATGTGACACTAAGAGTGAGCAATTTCAATAGATAACTCAGAAAGGTATATTTTTCACAACACAGTGGCGGTACCTGGGTTGATTCCTTCAATCTTGAATTCAAGAATGGAAACAAACCTGTCATATATTCTTCACTTCATGGCCATGCATTTTACCCTAGAGCAGGGCTCAATCCTCAAGGGGGTAATAGTGTTGGACTTAGGAACGGTACTATGGAAAGTGATTTGGTAGTGGACATGGGGGTAGGATATGAAGTGGTTTCTACTGAGTATCTGGGGTCGGAGATTGTGGAGCCGCTGTGGCTGAACTATTTCAGAGAATGGGGTCCAAATATAAGCCATGATATTGCAAAAGAGCTGAAGAAGATGGAGAAATGGTTGCCTGGGAAGTTGAAAAAGCTTTTGGAGAAACTGGTGAGAAGCTTGCCAAATGAACTGTTAGGAGAGGAAGGACCCACTGGTCCGAAGGTGAAGAACAACTGGAATGGAGATGAAGTTGTTCATTGATTGCAAGACCTGTAAATGTATTGTTTCTTATGAATAGTTTAATTACTCTTTTTTAGAATCTTCAAATGACTCATTTCTATTGAAACCCAACTCCTTACTTGATGATGAAGCAATATTCTGATTGAGAGCGAGAGATGAACCATTCCGTGAAGGGAAAAAAGAAATAAGGCAAATAAAATTGATCTCTATTTATATACATATTTTTTTATGTCTGTAATGCATATTATTCAAGAAAAAATTCCGCATGCTTTCTCCAATATTGCACTCTCTGATCAAATCCTTGGCAGAACAATCTTCTCCTTCTCATTTCTATGCAAATTTGTATTTGATAACAAAAGCTTACGTGAAAAAAAAAAGAAATAATTATGAATAAATTTGATGCAACGGCTATTATTATTACTACTTGATGTTCTTGTCAAGTTATTGCGTAGGAAGGAAAAGTTAAAATAAAATGTACTCATAACAATCTTCCTTCTAAGTTAGCTAATAAGTTGTAGCCTTTTTTATTCCATTAATTTTATACCATATTAAATAACTCTTAAAATAATGATCAAACAAAGCTTTAGTCCAGGTAAGGCCACTCATTCTCAACTCATCAACGAGCCACGTTAGGACTCTCAACTTTGAATACCAGATCTAGGATGACCAGAAAAATAGTTACTAAATACTCTTTCATGGATCATGATCAGATTCTATTTCTGTTGCACAGATCCTCTCAAACTTTCTAACGTAGCTTTATAGCACATGACAATATATATTGAGTGAAAAGACATATAACTACTTTGAATTTGAATTTTGAGTCAGCTGCGCGCACTTGTCATTATTTTTTAAAATATTTAAAATAACCCTCTATTAAGTTTTTAATTGTTTTTTGGTCATCAACCCCTTATCATTAAAAATATCTATTAAACAATTAATAAAGAAACAAAATAGAACTCCTTGCTTGTCACATAGAATGAAGGGTAGACTCCAATAATTTCGTTTTGTTTATAAAATAATTTTCCATTAAACAAAACTTGCGTGTAATCTTCTCAGCGGTAACCCTACTTTCTCTTCACGTCAGGGGAAGTTCTTTCTGTTATGAATTCTTTGGGGTTGGGAGTATGATTGAGATCCTCGTAAATCCATAAGCCGGATATTCTAATTTGTCCACATGAGAGATTCCCATAATTATACTACCTCTGGTCCTTAATATGAGAAATTATTTTATTTTTATTTTAGTTCTAAATATAAGGCTCCAATCCTCTATGTCTCTTATATTTATTTATTTTTTAAGATAATCATTGTAATAATAGTAGTTCTATTTAATATACTTGATTAGAAAAAATGTTTTAGGAAAGACAACCTATATTTATTATAAATAATTAATTTAAATAATTTTTTATTTACTCAAATATTAGTCAACTAGTTCTTATATTAAAAGCTAGAAATAATAGTTTAATTAGTTATTTCTTCAGCCACTAAGGTTAGCAGTAAAAAAAAAGAAAAAGGTTTAACGGATTAGCTTTGAGCTTCGTGTGGTAGTAAAAGTCGTAAAAGCATGAATATGCATTGTAGTCAATCCCTTATGTTAGAAACCAATTTTTTTTTTGCCAACCTAAAATATAATCTTATTAATATATATATATATATAGATATATATATAAATTTCATTCAAGTATCTCTTTCAGTACTCGACGTACGTCGTTTCTAAGAAAAGCTGGTGGAGATTATCACAGAAAGGCATAAGAAAACGAGAGAGAAGAATATACTAAACGCAATTCATGCTTATATTCCCGTATAGTTCAAGCAATATGCATGCACGCACATTTGCGTACACACATATATTTGCCAAAACAGGGGAAGGTTGTGAAGGAAATCTGATCTCTCTCTCTCTCTCGCAGACACACAGAAGGAGAGGCTGTTATGATCACTTTTATAATAGCAACTTGACGGATAAAACTTATATAAATTGACATCAATATCTGTACGTCATGAGGTTCCAGAAAAGCAAAATAACAATAATGAAATCCAGAAGTAGAAGAGAATTGAAATCCAGAACAGTAGAAGACAAAGACACTGCAGTAGGAAAAGGAAATTCAGAGGTAAGCAGGAAAGCAGAAGAAAAGGACGGTTACAGGGAGAAGGATAGACGCCAGAGAGGGAGATCGCTTGACAAAATTCTTCACTGCCTCCATACCTTCATCTTACTCCACCATATACCGCAGTCCCTCCAAATTAGCCCACACTCTTTAAGCCCAATACTAACATCTGTTGGCCCAATGGCTGTTTCCTCTTGTTCCTTATTAATGCAAGACCCATTCATTACAGAGGCTTCTGGTTTTTGTTGATACAATATGTGGAGGGAGAGAGAAGGTTTCGGGAGAACAATGAAGAAGAAAATGATGAATCTGATAGTTTTAGGGTTTGTATTGTCTTTGTTTCTATGGGCAGTTCATGAGGCGGGGAAGCCATCGGCTACAAACTTATCAAACAAAGCCCAACTATTTTCTCCATCTAGCGGTTCTACGTTCATTACCTTCTCACAGGGCATGTTCAGAGAGGCGGCGAAGCCATCGGCCACAAACTTATCAAATAAAGCCCAACTATTTTCTCCATCTAGCTGTTCTATGTTCATTACCTTCTCACAGTACATGTTCTGACACACTTCCCTAAAGCGAGTGGTCAAAATCAATGTAATTCGATTATCTAACATAGAAAATCTGATGTCCGTTAGAGAGAAATGATCCCAAGCATTATGTAAAACAATAACACACTTCTTCATCTCTTTGAACGCTTGAAATAATTTGCTGGCAATTCTTTCACGAGGCTCATTAGATATATCCAACTTAAGTGATTCAGCTATGTTGTTTTGCAACCTGTTGATGTTGATATTTTGTGATACAGTCACCCAAATAACTTCAATGTCACAATTGGCTCCTTCTAAAAGCTTGTGACAAATATGGGCTACTGAGGCTGTTTTTCCTGAACGTCTAATTCCCCAAATTCCAGTTGTTGACACCTTATCATTCATTATCCATTCCCATATTTGTTCAGTATAACTTTGAAACTTCACTATTGAATCTGTTGTAGGCAATATATAATCTTTGAAAGATCCTAGCAACAAAAATCGTAATAAATAATTAAGTAAAGATAGTGAGAAAAATAAAAAAAATTAAATTAGATAATATGGCATTCAAATTTTAAGCAGTCGTAGGTATACTCTCTCCGTGTCTATGTGGAAATCACATTTTGGAGGATTTCAAGAATTCAAAACGTAAGTCACCAAAAAAATTTAGGTGGCATTAAATATTTTTCCGCACTTGTGCCCCATTAAATAATCAAAAAGTTATGGAGAAGAGAGTGGTGAAGAGGAAAATATGAGAGAACGTTACAATTGGACGAGGGTAATTTTTTAAGGTTATGACAATTTTTTTGGCAAAAAAAAAAAGCTATGAAAATTTTTAAAAGATTAAAAACTTCAACAAATTCATAAATGACAAATAAATGGAGGTGGATATAAATTCTATATGCTGATACTCATACCTTCTTCTAAACGATCTTGTCTATTCACAGTGTCAAGTCAAAATCTTTTATTGCCATCTTGCTCTGCAAATTGTGCATAGTGCCGTCTTGCTTTGTCATAGAGATTGTGTTTTTCTTGGTTCAGATCACTGTTGAGCAACTTCTCAGCCAAATACTTCCTTTCTTTTTCACTGTCAAGGGTCTGTTTGGGATGAAGAAAATGGAGGGAAAGAAGAGAAAAATTTGAAGGAAAAATCATAAAAAAAAAACTGCCGAAATAAAAAATTACAAATGGGGACTCGTTACAATATTAGTATGGGTTTTAACCATGGAAAAAAAAAACCGGACCGGACCGGCCGGTTCAACCGGTGAACCGGCCTGTTGTCCGGTCCGGAATAAGCCAAGAACCGGCCAGGGGTTAAACCGGTGGTGAACCGGTTGAGCCGGTATGAACCGGTGTAAAACCGGGTAAACCGCCGGTTTAGGTGATTCAGCCGGTTCAGATTATTTCCCCATCCAGAGACCCAAAACGACGGTGTTTTATTAAAAAAAAAAAAAATCGAACCCCCAGCTCGACCTCGACCGCTCAACCCCTCTCCTTCGGTCCTTCCTCATTCGGTCTCCAAAACGGCAAAAGTCCATCTCGGCAGCTCCTTCCTCCTCAGTCCCAGCCGCCGTCGCCGTGTGCGCACTGCTCAGTGAACCTCGCCGCCGTCGCCGTGTGCTCGCTGTCCCGTCTCGGTACCAGCTCGCTGAATCTCGCCGCCGTCGCCTCACTGAATCTCCCAGCTCAGCTCACTGAAGCTTGCACCGTCGCCGCGTCTTCCCCTGCCTCGCCTGAAGCTGGTTGGTGCCTTGCCTGAAGCTGCTCGTCCTGCCGTCGCCTCGCCTGAAGCTGCTCGTCCAGACTCCCAATTTCGTTTGACTCGGTTTGAGCTCTCCGTCTCTGTCTCTCTGATCTTTCGGCCACTCTTATTAATTTTCGTTTGAACTTGGATTGAGGGTGATAAATTGATAATCTATTAAATTTCTGGTTTGATTTTTCGTTTGAGTTTGGATTCTCTGCCTGTCTGTCATTTTTGATTTTTCCGTGCTGCTTCGTATGGGGTTGTGGTGTTAGATTGCTAGACTATCTGAAATAATACTTCATGTGCAGTTGTGGTGTTAGATTGCTAGACTATCTGGAAATAATAGATTGAATTTAGTCAATTTACCATAGTAGCATATTAGTACTGCGAGTTGTGGGTTTATATTAATCATATGGAGTTGTGGTGTTATGTTATGTGTTATGGCTGCTGCGATGTTCAGATGAGAAATAATCAAATAACCGATGTTCAGATGTTATATTAATTATTAAGCTTTTGATTTGTTTTTTTAGTAGCAGTGATGGATATTTCAAATAACCAAAGTTCTGGAAATGACAACATGACTCCTAATACTGGATCTTCAAATCCTCCTACCGAAACCTCCACACCCACATCCTCATTACGTGCCAAAACTGATCCAGCATGGGCACATATTGCGTACAAAAAAGAAGGAACACAGAATATATATACGTGTCTTTTTTGTACTAATAGTTATAGAGGAGGTGGAATAAATAGGATGAAGCAACATCTTGCTGGCACTGTTGGTCAAATAGCTGCTTGTAAAAAAGTTCCACATGATGTACGTTATAGAATGGCAGAGTCTTTAAAAGAAGGGTCAAAGAAGAAAACTATTGAAAACATAGAAGAGGAAGTCGAAGAAACTCATGTTGAATCACCAAATGTCACAAGTAGTGTGAGGAAGAGGAAAGCTTCTGGTAGCATAGACAATTTTTTTGCTCCTAGGACAACTCCTGATTCCCAACCTGGCATTAAGAGTGCATTAGCAACTAAAGAAGCAAAGCATAATGTGAAAATGTTGATTGCTGAATGGGCTATTGTAAACTGCATTCCGTTTAAGGCGTTTGATTGTCCTTTATTTCAAAAGGCTGTGGATGGCATTGCTTCAATAGGGCCTGGGTTTAAAGCTCCTAGTGCTTATGATTTTAAAACTAACTTGTTGAGTGACTGGAGAAAAGAATGTCAGTTACTCATTGATAGCCATCGTGCTAAATGGAAAAACAATGGTTGCACACTCATGGCTGATGGATGGACTGATGTTAGACAGCGTACCTTGATAAACTTCTTAGTGTATTCTACACATGGTATGGTATTTGTGAAGTCTGTTGATGCATCAGATCTAGTTAAAGATGCCAAAACTCTATTCACACTATTTTCTGAAGTCATTGAGTGGATTGGTCCTAAAAATATTGTTCATGTGGTGACTGACAATGCAGCTAACTATGTAGCATGTGGTAGATTGATTAAAGAGAAGTATAAAAGTATTTATTGGTCACCTTGTGCTGCACATTGTTTGAATCTTGTATTGAAAGACTTTTCAAGCATGCCTCATGTGTCAGACCTCGCATCAAAGGCATCAAAGATAACTGTATTTGCATATAATCATATGGTTTTCTTATCGTGGTTGAGGAGAAGACCAACTTGGAAAGAAATTGTGCGTCCTGGTGCCACGAGGTTTGCTACCACATTTATTACATTGCACAGCATATATATGCACAAGAATGACTTGCAAGCTTTAGTTGTTGATAAACACTTTGTGGACCACAAATTATCAAGGACTGAAGCAGGAAAAAATTTTAGTGCAATCATATTGGACAATCGGTTTTGGAATGATTGTTATCAAGTTGTGAAAATTGTATCTCCTCTCATAAAATTGTTGAGAATTGTTGATTCAGATGAGAAGCCTTCATTGCCTTATGTTTATGAAGGCATGCGAAGGGCGAAAATGGCAATTAAGGAGATGTTTAAGAACAACAAGGAGCTGTATAAGCCCTACACAACAATCATTCAAACTCAATGGGACAAGCATTTAAAGACCAATCTTCATGCAGCATCATATTTGCTGAATCCTGCAATCACATATGCTCCAGACTGCTCTATCAAGTCAAAGTTAATGATGGCTTTAATTGATGTGGTGGAGTCTTACTCAAACGAAGAGGTTGATGGCTTCTTGGTAATGAAACAAGCAACTACTTATCGTGAAGCCAAAGAATCTTTCAGTAGACCATCATGTCAAAAAGCAGCACAGAAACTTGACCCTTGTAAGTGTTTTATTTAATAGCTAATAGTATATTTATGGCCATTCACTAATTTTATATTTCATATTTTCATGATTTAGATGAATGGTGGACATATTATGGATGTTCAGTGCCAGAATTGCAACGTGTTGCAATGCGCATTCTTAGTCAAACTTCTTCTTCTTCTGGCTGTGAAAGGAATTGGAGTTTATTTGAACGCATTCATACAAAAAGAAGAAATAGACTGGAGCACAAAAGGCTAAATGATTTAGTTTTCACAAACTATAACTTGCGATTAAAGTATAGGTAATTTTATAAGTTATGAACATTTTTATTTTGATATGGATTTACATCTAATTAAAATTTTATTTGTCAGGAGTACATTGAAGAAGCAGAAGGCAAGCTATGATCCTATTGACTTTGAAAACATTGATTTGGTGGACTTTTGGGTGACCGAAGAAGATCCTGTTCCAGAGTTTGATGATGGAGATGTGGCAACATTTGAAAGTGTTGTCAACAATGAAGATATTTCAAATTTGACAACTCCTGGGAGGGATAATGAAGGTATTATTGTCTTAGTCTCTTAGAACTTTATAAATATTTTTATTTTAATATTGATTTACATACATTTAATTGACACTTTATTATTGTCTTATTTAGGTGCTGATGATGATATGAATATTGTTGAACCTCCACCTCTGCAAGATGATGTTGCTACTCCTTCTAATTTTCCTCTTCCAACTATTGATGTCTCAATTCCTGACCCTGCCAATGAATTTAATGATGATTTTGATTTTCTGTAATGATGAAGATATATATTTGTTAATGTTAGTTTAGTACAATTAAATGTTTAAATCATTTTGGTTGTTTTTTGTATTTTGTTGAATGGTTATTATTGATGAATGTTATTTTTATTTTGTCATTACCAATTAAATTATATTATTTTAATATGACCGGTTTGACCCCGGTCTGACCCATTGACCCTTAACCCACTAGCTAGACCGGTTTAGTATCCGGTCCGGTTTTTTGTTCATTGGTTTTAACAATAGCATGGGTTTTAACAAAAAATTTTTAAATAGGTTTCTGTGTGCAATTTTTTAATCTTCAGGGTCTTTTTTTACAATTTTTTCAAATTTTACTGAGGCCAATTTAAAAAATTAAGAAATAGGATTTAAAGTCTTTAATTAACTTTTGTTACTCTTTTTATTTTACATATTCTCTTTATTAAAATTTTAAAATCCCTTTGTTTTTAATTTTTTTAAATGGATCTCATTAAAATTTTCTCATCCTTACCTTTCCCTCCATTTCCCTCATTGCGTAAAAGAGAGCACTTGCGTGCTCGTGTAGAACCATGTGTGGGCATGTGTGAGTGCTTACCTATGAGTCGATGACAACATGCTTGTAAGAGGTCATACCTGAAATGAATTATTTCCCTTTTGTTCCATGAACTCCATAACAAAGATACCGCAATCAAATCTACAAATTAAAATACACACACACACATATATGATAAGGTCATGATCAAAGACTTTTCTAGTAAAGTTTATATAATTTTACATAATAATTGTCGACTCACCCATTGCGCCGTGGGAGGATGACGTTTTCCATCTTGGAACAGAAGTCCGTAAATGGTACATTTCTGAAGAGTTTTTCCATGGCAAGCAACTAGACACATAAAGCATAAATTCTACTCTTCCGGCTCTTAATATAAGACCTATTTAGCTAACATGATTAGATCAAAGAAGTTAGATATGTTAGTTAATTATAAAAAATATGACACGTTTTTCCTAAAATATCATAATCATTTTTCTTAATACCCCATCTTTCTCTTCTACTTGATTATAGTTGAGGAAGTATCTAGAGGGTTAATTTAGAGAAAATTGATAAATATGATAAATGAGTTTTATATTTAGGACCAAAACTAACTTAATAATTGAGTCATATATAAGGATCGGAGGAGTATAAAATCAAAAGAATAATTGACTGATTAATATTGTAGATATTGCAATTACCTAACACTCACCAATTTTTTGGTTGTCTCGTCACGTTCTGTTTCGGTCACAGGTGTATTGGGTGGAGAATCCCATATTTCAATCTCTTTATTCTTTAAATGAATAACATATAAATAAAAGTGTCCCCCATCTGACTTTGCTTCATCGTGAACAGGAATAAATATCTATTATTTGTGATAACAAAAATCAAATTAATATATATATATAGTAGGGGGAAAAAAAGGTAATCATATTGACAAAGAAACTTTTTCAATAAAGAGTTGAGAAGATATACCTTCTAACAGGATTTTAGCTCAGACTGAGACATATAATTTCCTCTCATTTTTAGACCATGGACAAAATTCCTGAAGTGACCTATGTTGCCTTCCAGTGCTGTTTTCTATAATTATGTCATGAACGAACCATTAAAAGTTATGGTCAATGAATTAGTTTTAGATTAAAAAACTACTTGACATACAGAAAAAGGGAATAGGAAATCACCGAAAATGCCACAGGAAGGTACCAATTCGAAGGCACAGTTTTTGCTCTTTCGCTCAACATGGTTTAACATCTCTACAAAAATATCTATTACCTAAGAATGCATAAAATTAAATATTAATATAACTAAAACCTTGGTCATTAATACTATAACAAAATATAAGAATGTATAAATGCTTACCAATGAATCCAAAGGAGTCTCTGGTTTAAGTGTGATAAAAACATCTTGAGTCAAATATGAGAGTGGGGAAATAAAAACCTCATCTTCAGGACTGAAGAATTAGAACAATATACTTATCAAAAAATAGAATCAGAGTGATTTAAAGAAACAAATCAAAAAATAAATATATTCATATATCCATATTAGAAGCGTATATACATAGTGGGAAGTATATGAATCTAACCTTAAGCATTCAAGCACATATTGTATGACCTGCAAGTCTTCAATCTCCCAATCCGAAACAGAAGATGACCCAACTTGAATCCTTTCCTGATTGTTAGCTTCGGCTTGGATTTGTCCTGCTTCATTCGACAATGCTATAATCTATTAGACTGTCCAATGACTGAATGAGATTTCTTATTAAAAAAAAAAAATCCCCTCTGCATGATCTTGGAAAAAAGATCATCCAGGAGGGAGTATAATCATATATAACTACGTACCTTGTTGAGAAGGAAGGAGGTTGTCTCTGAGATCTTTGGAGTTTCCTTTGTCTGAAACAAAGTTTGGACATACTCGAATGCCTTTGCCTTTTTCTCCATTAATATGAGATCTGATCCTGCTAGCACCTCCTGCGAATTCCCATTACAATATTTACACTTCACTCTTCGTCCTCCCTCCAATAGCTCAACGTGTTGCCACACATCATCCCTTGGCCTTCCACCTACCTTTTCCATTATTACTTTTCCTGCATACGCAATATATATATATATATATATATAGACACTGAACAATTAAAATTGAAGTAACACTGTTCAACAATTTGGGGCTTGAGCTTTCGTCAATAAAGCTAATATACTTTTCCTGCACATACAAATCGTATACCTTTCCTTAATATGCATGCAATTTGATCGAGCACAGTAATGAAGGGATGAAGATTATTGTGCGCAGAGAAGCTTCAGAGATTGACCACAGAATAGGAATGTGATGATGAAGAAGAAGGACTCTGGGGGAAGAGTGAGCCTGAAATAAGTACTGGGTGTATTGTACAGTCCAGCTGTATGACAGAGTGCTTTATCAGAACGGTGAATGAGAAAGAGGGGACAAGATTCTTGTCTGATTGGCCCATTGACTCCGTTGGCGGAAGCGGGAACCACCTTTTATTTAAAGCCTATTTTCATATTTAAATTGGTTGTTGAACTTCTAATCTCTGAACTTTAAACTAATTAATACTCCATCGTATTACAAAGCATCTACATCGAAGCGTTCAACTTGCCAACTCACAATATAAGAAAATAATACTCTTCTTGTCTTATTTATAGAGCAAAGAGAAAAGACATTTTCTGATCCTATTTATAAAGTACTGAGAGAAATTTTTTATATGGATATACAATTTTACCATTTTATTTTTGTGTTGAATTTGTTTACATGAGATATAATATATATTAAATAGGAATAAAGTTAAAAAAATTTTGAATTTTAAATAAGAGTTAATGAAATTTAAGGTTTTTCTTGATCTACATAAAACATATTAGAAGTACCTTATAAATAAGACTAGTTGAGTATAATAGTAGTTCACATAATCCAATTGAAAAGAAGAAATCAAAGAGAACAAATTACTGCACGTTACTCATTTATACTTAAATATAAAAATGAGTTACTACGTTGATTTTGCATTTAAATGTAGGACCTTGGTCTATTTTCATTTTTATATTTATTATTTTTTTAAGACTAAATTATCTAATATATATAAATTGATATATAATCTAATATTACATAAAAATATTTTAAAAAATCATGTCACATTTATTAAAATTAAATAATTTATCTAAATTTCTTACATTAAATATTTAAGGAAAAATGACAAAAAAATGTTAAAAATTACTAAACATCAAATCAGATTTGATAACAACACTTTGTTTGACATTAATGACACTAAATTTGTAAATAATAATAGATTTTTGGGAGAATTACAATGAGGTCCCAAATAAGAAAAATAATTAAAAAGCAAGTCCCAGATGTTATTATTCTCAATATAGGACTTGTCATTATAAACTACTGAAGTTGTTATTAGGACCTCTTAGTAATTATTTTTTTTATGTGGGACTTGATTGTAATTCTTTTTAAATTTTTATTGACATTTTTTATTTGGCATTTAATAATTTTTAGTTTTTTTATTTTTTTAATATTCAATAAAAAGGTATTACGAGTCTTGAATTAGAGAGTGATTGAAACAGTAGTGTTGCAGGCTTTAGGGGTTTCAGGAAGGGTGCTCAATGATTGGAGTTGTTTAATATAAACTCTTGTCATCATTTTAACCTAAACCAAAAACTTATTTCAGCTATTTGCTTCATATTTCATAAATAATCGTGATCGTGACTCTAAGCACGTTTAAGGCTTGTTTGGAAGGCAGTAAATGATTATGGGACGTTGTATTAGTAGTCTAGTATTCATGTGAGGGCGCAGAGCATACATTGTTCTACAGCTGCACGACATGGTGCTTTATTATTAGGAAATTTTTTTAGCACAGCAAAAGTGACTTTACTAAAGACCACACGATTTTTGAAATTATACGGTAAAACCAAAGCATCAAACTCAAAAGGAAAAAAAAAAGTTTTGTTTTGATGGTAAATTACCAAAATATTATTTATTTATTACTTTTACAAGTATATATATGTATTTTGACATGTGGCCATAACAAAAATATATGTGTATATATAAAAATTTATAACTCCCAATTTATATTATAACCACAAGTCCAAAAATTTATGAATGCTTATAAGTTTGGGGCTTGAGTTTTCGTCAATAAATCTAATCTACTCTTCCTGCACATACCGAATCATCTACCTTTCCTTAACATGCATGCGATTTGATCGAGCAAAGTAATCAAGAAATCAAGGTTATGAATCGCAGCGCAACTTCGGAGATTGATCAATCTTGAATCTGCCTAAGTAGAGAATGAACGATTGTGCAAAGGCAGATTCTGACTTCTGGGCAAACTGACTCTGAATGACTATTTCACGTGAATGGCCTTCGTGTTCGAAACCTATCCCGTTTGTCTTCCCCGCAATACATTTTCTTATATTTTCTAGGTCCTCTCATCTAGAGAAAGTTGACCCACCAAATGGCTTGTGAGATATCTGATTCAGAAACTTGCCTAGCTTCTTCTTCTTCTTGTTTGTGCTCTTCTCCTCACAGCTTTTTCTGCAAATATGAAACCTCATGCTATTAAAAAGAAACCGATACCGAACGCATCTTTATAAAAATCCATCTAACTTTAATCTTTGTCATAATCTTTAATTACCTAGCTTCATCATGCTGCTGGGGATTCCAACAACTTCCAACATTCCTGGCTGATCCTCCAAATCTATCATGTTTGCGAATCTGTGCATTAACGTTATTATCATCCACACGTGATCAAGTTGCGAAACAAACAGCTCGAGCTGAAAATCTCTTGCTTCCTTTTAAGGGAGATAATGAAGAAAAAGATGATGATGATGATGATAGTGATATATAAAGTAGTGTCTCTGACAGTTTTGTCAGTTTCGTTTCTTTGATGCTTGCTCATGTTCATCGAACTGGGTTGATAAAAAGAAAAATATAGCGAGTGATTCTCAAGTTTGTCTGCTTCAACTTTTACCAGATTCACTTCCATCTGCTAATGTGGACCTATCGGAACTCATTTCTGATGATAGCTGATCTGGAGAATTGGGTTTGAAATATGGAAATCTTTCATGTTGAAGTTCTTTTGGTAGCAATGGGTGCTTCTGCTTTAGCTGTTTGCCTTCTATATCATACACTTGAGCAGGAATCTCCACGTTCAATATGGAAGCTTTCCTTGGACCAAACATAACAGTTTCTGCATAATCAAAGAGGCTTCTCAACGAATATTGAGATCCTGAGGACGTATTCATTATCAGATATTGAGTAATGAGGTCATCATCCAACAAGTCTTGCCACAAGTACCCTGTCTCGTACCTCCTGATCCCAATTTGAATCCACAGATCACATACTTCAACTCGATCCAAAAAAAATAAAAAATTCAAAAACAGACCACAAAGGTACAATTCATTCTTCCTCTTGTAGGACCATGCATACGTCTCTGCCAAATCCTTCCCTCTTGCTTTCCGATCCACCTCTTCACATGTTTTATCACATAAAGTCCATAAATCATGACCTGCGAAAGCGAGGAACAGGGTGCTACACACAGAGACAGAGGTGCCTGTAATTTGCAGACCCAGCGTCTCAAAAACCAAAACCACAGTTCACGCCATTCTTATCCATGTGTTTACACTAAATCTTGACTGATAAAAAACATTTCTTACAACACTTAATAATGTGGTTTTCAGGTTCCAAAGAGAAGTCCAAAACCTTAAAATTTAGGGAAGGAAAGAAAGTATTAAAAGACAGAAGAGGGAAGCATACAACATTGGAAGTGAGAGTCAACAAATCACGACGTGCAAGTGGGAACAATTTTCTTAAAGGTAACGGAAACGTGCAAGGAATTTCACGGGAATGTAATGAAAGAAACAGATAAGTTAAAACACCTCGAAGATAGACTCCACTGCAAGCCAAACGATGAATACGCATGAGATGAGGTTCTTCAGAACCACCCATCAAACTAAGGAAGTACACTATATGGATCCTTCTCACTTCACTACCTTTACTTCCTTTACTTCCTTCCATCTCCTTCTCTCTCTCTCTGCGCTGCAATCCCAGATCTCTCTTCCTTTAATTCACAAACTTAACTCTCTGCTACTTCACAAGCAAGCAATGGCAATATATATACACTGTAGAAATCAGCTAACCTGCGATAAGAAGAAAGATCTCTGTCTCTCATGGTGCCGGCAGCTACTAAAATAGGAGTTGATAATAATCCAATATTGCCTTTCGATGTTTGATTGATTACCATATATGGTGAAGATAATGTAGGCCCGCTGGAAACACAATCGTACTTGGAGTAGTGTGCCTGTTTTCTTTAAATAATTTGAATTTGAGTATTCTCATGCCACATAGGAGAACTTCTAATTTTATATGATTAACATACTATTTACGTGAACCACTTCTGTTTATTTATTTATTTATTTATAATTATAATTAATAACCAGTACTTGTCCTCACGGCATTACTCTCAAAAAAGGTAAATTCTGTTTCTCTCTTTCCGTTGCCATATCTTTCCTTTTTGTCTTTCAAAAGTTTGATTACAGATTTCAAATCTTAATTTTGAAAATAATTCAACTGCAAATACAATATGATCTTTCCTCAAAGTCAGCTTTTTTATTCATGATGGCAAAATACTTATTTGTATTGTATCACTGGCATTCATACTTAATATATAGGTCCTGTTTAGTACAAAGTATTAAAAATAAAAGATAGGGATTGAGATTGAAAGTGCAAAACTATATTACAAAAGTGTTTAATATGAGTAATTGTATTATACTTGGGATTAGACAAACCCATAAATATAAGATTGGAGAATACCATGAGAGGAGGTGGTGTTTTTCCAATCCTATCTATCTGGGATTGCCTAATCCTATGTGATAAGAAACCACTCATGCTAAGCATCCTTTTAACATATGTTTTCAACCCAATCCCAATATTTATCCCCTCATTTCCAATATTTTGTACCAAACGTAACCCATAGTATCTTAAAGCTACATGTGCACATATGAACCTCCGACAGAGGCAAGTCACTAACTAAAAAAAAAAAGGTACTAGATAATTCTCAAATTTTCTAACTTGTCTTATAAATAGAAACAAATCACTCTCCAAAATGTTGTCCTACAAACAGAAACTGAGGACAACCAATTTTAAGATACTTGAAAGCATTTTAGTATAGTTAGTAAGGTATTATTCATAAATAAGTCCCTTGTTCAGAGTTCATATGTAAATTTGCCTATGTAATTCGACTTGAGTCCAGTATAGATAAGTTCCTTGAATAAGTCTTCATGTCATTCTTCCAATAAAATAGTGTTGTTGCTATAAGCAAGTAGTTGCATTACAAACCTAGTTTCATCATAAATAAATGTACCGACTAAAATAGCGTAATTGAACAAATATAGAAGCACACAACATAAATATAGAATCAAAAGCAGTTTTTAAATAATGACTTAAAGGATATCAGGTCCTATCATCTTCAGTGTCACACACAGCAATAACCGTGCATATTACATTACCAAAAAGAATTAGAATAATTGAGAGGCATGCCACAAACAACTTTCAAATTCGACTTCGTACCATATGATTATTTGGCTCTAATATAATAAATTAATTTTAGGCATTCTAACTGCGGGAGGAGAAGCTCATGAAGTATATTCATCATCAACATAATATAAAATGAAGTCAAACAGTGGAGGCACATACGGACCTGACTAGTCAATTCCCAGTAGCACCCATCCGGGGTCGTCTCATTTAGAAGCACACTTCCATTATTGGAGTTCACTCTCTGAGGGGGTCTTAATTGATTGCAAGATTCAGCAGAGAATGTTTGGAGAGAAGGGCAGAGCATGATGCCTCTGTATACGAGATCTAATTGTGGCATGTCAAATAATTCAAGAGATGTCAACATGGGAAGTTCAATAGTGGGGTGAAAACAGCTGTTCTGCAGAAGGGCCATGAGTTCGTCAACATCAACAAGTTCCGGGACAGAATGATCCTCTCCAACTATTTCTTTCATCTCCTTACATCTACGAACACAAATGGTGCGCAGGTTTTGGAGGAGTGCTGGTAACTTGAACGCGATCAGAGTCTCCATGCTGTCGCAATCCTGAATTTCAAGATCCGTGAGATGAGAAAATAGGGTGGATTGATGCAAGGAATCAGCATATGGTGACACAAAACTTTTCAGTTTGTTCAAACCAGAGAGTCTTAGACGTCCAACAAGTTGGAAAGAGAAGCAAAAGGGGCAATTGCAACACCACAAGTACTCCACATCATCATAGAGGCAAATATCCAACAGTTCAATTTGGTGTGGATTATTGTTGTGGCCATATGATAAAACAGTACATAGGGGTCCAGCACCTGTCCCTTGCTGGCAATTAATCATATCCAACTCCTTCATGTCTGCAGGGAGTATTACTTTTTCATGTCCCAAAACCATATTCTCAATAACCACCTTTTTCATGGGATATTCTATGATAACATTTCCATCGCAAAGAACATCACTTAGGCCAAGATCGTAACTTCTATCCTGTAAAGTTAAATGATAGCTTCTGGTTGCACAATTGTCGCCCAGGAAGCTCACAAAGGTATTGAATATACTAACGTCATGAAAATAGGCTACTATAACTTCCAACTTTTTCAAACCTTGTGTACCTTGTACTGTCACGTTTGTTTTGTATAGGGGACCACCCAGCTCAAAATGCTCTAAATTGGTCAATTTGGATATGAGAGATATTGACATTACTAGCTTATCTGTATGGAGCAGATTCAGGTATTTAAGATTGACCAATGATTCCAAGCCCTCAGGTGCTTCACTGATGGCAGTGAAAAATAGATCCAATGATATTAACCGTTTCAATTTTCTTATTGATGGAATTAAACTCAATTTTCTACATCCTGAAAGTAACAATGCAGTGAGACATTCCAAGCTAGACACCGAGCTGGGCAAACACTTGATTCCAGTCTCAGACAAGTCAAGTGTTTTAAGAGTAGGCATGTTGTTAAAAAAATCATCTGAGATATAGTTGAGGTTTGCGTTGTGATTCAAAAGCAATGTAGAAAGTTGAGAACACCTCGGACATGTGCCATCTGGAATTGTTTGTATCTCATTCCGCATCAGAAAAACTTTTTGTAGATCTTCTTTCCACTGGTCATCACTTGGTATTTTTGTTAACTTCTCAGAAGCTTTTCTCATAATTTTACCAGTTTCTTCCGCAATACCAACAGCAAGGACTCTAAGGAATTTGTTTGTCATCCAATAACCACCATCATCATAATCCAACATGCTATGATTCTTTAATTTACGTAACATGTTCCAGCCTTCGTTATACTGCACCCTCAACTTCTCTCTCTCATCAATGCTTTCATAGACAAATTTTCTTATCAAATGATTAGCATCGTCATTATCAAAATTTCCATTGGTACTTAAGATGCAATATAGGAAGAATCTTTGGAATTTGTTAATTAAGAAATCATAGCTAGATCTCAAAACTGGAAATACCCATTTGTCCATTTCATATTGCCCATTGCCCAAGTTTTCAAGACATTCCAACATATGTCTCCATTCTCTAGCTTCTGTTTTCCCCTTCATGCTTGTTGCGATTCTAACAATAGCAAGAGGAAAACCCTCACATTTTTGTGCCTCATTCCGTGCAATATTTTCCACTTCCGAAGACAGTTCCTTACAGAATAATCCCAAAAACTCATCAAACAAAGCCCTACTATCTTCTTCATCTAAAGGCTTCACTTTTATTACCTTCTCACAATCCATACCTTGACACACTTCCTTTACACGGGTAGTCAAAATCAATTTAATTTGATTATCTGACATAGGAAATCTGACGTCCTTTAGAGAGAAATGATCCCAAACATCATCTAAAATAATAACACATTTATTCATCTCTTTGAATGCTTGAAATAATTTCAGGGCAATTGTTTTAACCTCATACTCACCAAATATATCCAAATCAATTGATTTGGCTATCACTTTTTGCAAATGCAAGATGCTATCTTGTGATACAGTTACCCAAATAACTTTAATGTCATTACGAATAAGCTCATGATATATATAGGTTGCTAAGGCTGTTTTTCCTGACCCTCCTCCTCCCCAAATTCCAATAGCTGACTCCCCCATAATCTCCTCCTCCTCCTCCTCATCATCATCATCGTCGTTGTCGTCATCATCCATTATCCATTTCCTTATATCTTTACTCTGCCTCTTAAAAACCCTTCCTATTAAATCTGTTGTAGGCAATGTATAACCTTCGGAAAATCCTAGCGACCACAATAGTAAGAAATATTTAAAGATGGTGAGAAGAATTAAAAAAATTAAATCAAATATATGGCATTCAAATTTTAACCAATCATACATATACTCTATTCATCTTTCTGTCAATCGTATTTGGGAATATTTTAAGAATTCAAAATGTAAGCCACCACGAAATTTAGGCAAGAATTAAATATTTTTTCTGCACTTGTCCCTCATTAAATAATAAAAAAAGTCATGGAGACGAGAGTGCTATATAAGAGAGGGTTACAATTCAATGGGAGTAATTTTTGAATGTTATGACAATTTTTTGGCCAAAAAACATTATGAAAAATTTTAAAAGTCTAAAAAATTCAACTAATTTTATTAGATTTTTCATAAATGACATCTAAAATGAGTTGGACCTATATTTTATATGCAAATACCCATACCTTTTTCTAAACGATCATGTCTATTCACCCCGTCAACTCGTAATCTTTTATTGCCATCTTGCTTTTCAACTTGTGCATAGTGGCGTCTTGCTTTGTCATATATATTTTGTTTTTCTTGGTTTAGGTCACTGTTGAGCAACTTCAAAGCCAAGTCCTCCCTTTCTTTTTCACTGTCAAACTACATAGTTGTCCGTATCATTTATATGATCAAGGGTCTGTTTAGGATCAAGAAAATGGAGGAGAGGAAAGAAGAAAAAATATTTTAACAAGACTGATTTAAAAAATTGGAGAAATAGAGTTAAAAGTTTTTAATTAATTTTTACTACTCTTTTTATTTTACATATTATACCCAGTCCCAAGCCCGGATAAAGGAGGAGGGTTGTGTTGGGCCTCGACAGCCAATATAAAAACCTGTCCAATCTCATGAACATGGGTTAATGAAGAAATTATACTAGTGCAAGGTCGTTGCCTAGAAGTAACACACTGTATGGCTTGAGTATAACGAGAAGTGAGCTAAAGCCACTACATCGTCACCCAGATGTAGTGTTAAATGAGTAAGGACTACCGCACTCTTTTGGATGGAGGCGGCTAAAGAAGTTAGTTCATGAGAGCAAGATTAGATTTGGTACTTGGAATATTAAGATTTTGAATGAAAAATCTATGGAGGTAGTAGGAGTTATGAGGGACAGAAGGATTAATATCTTGTGCCTCCAAGAAACTAAATAGGTTGGAGAAGTGTCCGCGGCGGAATTTGGAGAGTGTAAACTTTGGCACACCCGAAAGGTGAGTGCAAGGACTAGTGTTGGTATTATCGTGGACGGAACATGGAAGAAGAATGTGGTGAGGTTAAATGGTTTGGGGACAGAATAATATCTTTTAGAATAATTGTTGGAAAGAATACTTTCGATATTATTAGTGCCTACACACCTCAAGTTAGGGCAAAGACACACCTTAAAGATAACTTTTGGGAAGATATGGAGGGGTTGGTTCAAAGCATACCATTTGAAGAAAAAAATTTTATTGGTGAGGACCTTAATGGATATGTCGGCAAGGAAGGAGGGCAATTTGCTGAGGCTCATGATGGTTTTGGTTTTGGGAAGCTTAACAATGGATGACAATTTATTCTTAACTTTTCACTTGCATATACTTTCAAGATTGTCAACACTTGTTTAAAGAAGCGAGAGGAGCATTTAATCATGCACCAGAGTAGCGCCTCAAAATCATAGATTGATTTCTTTTTGGTTAAGAATCCAGATAGAAGACTGTGTACTAATTGCAAAGTGATTCCTGAGGATGGGGTGACTGCACAACATAGAGTACTTATCCTTACATGCGTTTTAAGAGTATCAAACAAAAGTATCATCAAGTGATAAACCCTAGAGTTAAGTAGTGGCAATTAAAGGGTGAGAAGCTAGAGTTCTTTAAAAAGATGCTTTTGGAGGGAGGGAACTTGGAGTTGCAGGGAAATACGAAGATTATATGGGAAGAGATGGCTAAAAGAGTACATATGGTAGCTAAAGCAATTTTGAGAGAATCTAAAGGTTGTGGTTAGAGAGAGAAGGAGACTTGGTAGTGGGATAAAAATGTATAAGAGAAAGTCAGACAGAAAAGATATTGTTTTAAAGCCATACATTTGTACAATAGTATAG